GATAAAAAATAGGAATGTATATTGTAAATTTTATCATGACATTTTTGAGCATCGTATATCTGTAGAAGCCAATGGGTGATGTATTTTTTTTTTTAATCGAAAGGAATATTGCCCACTTTATTCGGTATTAAGATATATTTTCGAGTCCCRATAAAATCATACATTTTACGCAGTGAGTAGTTTTTAACTGCATACTTTGCGTTAATTTTGTGATTTAAATGATATAATAGATTATATTTTTTTGTATCCATTTATATTAAATTGWAATTTATAATATTAAAAGGGATCAAAATATTAATTACTTAGCTTATATAAAATTATTATTTATTATAATTAATACAATTACATTTTATGTTTTATATTAATGTATACAATTGAATTTTCTGAAAAAAATAGTAAAACATGACTTATGTTTGACGAAAATCTTATGACTACCCAAATTACTCAGTGTATAATAATKAAATAATCATAAATTTTGTATGAACACAGGTATTTTTTTTAAATTTTAACATATTCACATAGTTTTTCTGTTGAAAAAGTATTAAAAGATGTTAATTAACTGAATAAATAAATAAACAAATCAATAAAATGAATATAATTTTAATGTAAAATGCTAAATTTTTTTGCTATTAGAAAGTTCTATTATGATACTATCGATTATTCAAAATTTTTATTACTTATAAAAAGGGTAGTAATGTTTATTAGACATTATTTTTTTTTTTTTTTAAATTAATTACATGAATTGGGTAAATATTAGCTGAAAAAAAAATACTAAATATTTGAAATCATATTTAAATAAATATTTACATTSTATCGTATTACAAAACAAAAAATCATATTTATGTTTAAATAACTACAATTGTATTACCTTATAACTGTTAAAGGTTTACTGGAAGCTAAAAAAAAATAGTTAAAGGTTGATTTTCTATTACATATATGAATAACAAAATATTATATTATTAAATAATCGTAAAATTATCAATTAATGAGAATTTCAATTCAATTAACTTAACTTAAATATTTTATGAATTTTAATACATTATATTTTGAAACCGTTTATTATATCTATRAATCATTTTTTTCAAACGCTATTGCGATATTTAATCAAACTAATAATTTTATTCATCTTGATATACATCACAATACATGTTATATTCAAATTTATCAGTTCCCTACATTGCTACGGTGTAACAAATCAAATTAAAGATTATTAAAGAGACTAATAAAACAATATTTTCTTTAGATCATTATTCATATTATACCCCGTTTAAAAATTGGAAAAGGTTTTACACCACATGGAAAACAAAAACAAATAAAATAATGAAATAACATTATATTATTCCCGTGAAAAAAAAATTTTTTTATAATTAAATTTTGTTAATTGTATATACCCTCTATTTTTTATTATTTTTATTTTTATTTTTTTTTAACTAATAAAAATAAATCCCAACAACATGAGCGTACGTGTTTTTAATTTTTGTTTTTAATTATATTTATTACTAAAATGTTAGATTAATTTATTCCGAGAAAACTGTTTTCTTTTTACACTTTAATGCATTAGATATTACTTAGGGGTATACWGCAGCTCGCACATAAAGTAAATTAACAAACAACGTTTTGGTTACCAAGAATTAACATATTATTTAAATACACCTCTATAAATGTTGTCTGGTAAAACAAAAAAAAACATTGCCGTTTAAGAACTATTATCGAACGAAATAAAATTTGGAAATAGCTCTAATAATCGTATACTTCCAACATCACATGCACACGTACATATTTGAATATAATCTTAAAACGCAAAATCATAATGTCAATGAACAACATGCCTTATCTTTACATTAAATTAGACAAATAAACATTGTAGTTAATTTAGCACGATTTTATTGTTTTGAAATACTTACAGCAGATGTTCCTAAACTTTTTTGATTCACTACATCCCAAAGAATTTTCTAAAAATACAAAGCCACCCTTAGTAATACATCGTGTATATATACTCGTATTTTTTAACTTCAGGCTTCTTTTGCTTGGTATAAATATAATATATTTTATATAATATCTATTCTCTGATATTGTCTATAAACTAAATACACGCACTCTATCACATCTCTCAGAAAATCATTTTTTTTTTTTAACTGTGAAAATTATGTTCGATTGCTTTATGTAGGAAATTATTTCCTCCCAATTGAAATTCACCGCACCCTAGTTGAGGACCTCGTAGTTATATGTATAAATACAGTGTCCCAAATCGAACAAAACATTTCAAGATAAAATTCGACCGTCTGCGAATGATCGGAATTTACGGTAATACTATATCCGACGACCTGGATATCGGCGGGGAATTATTGCGATGATGTTTCCGAATGTTTACTGTTGTGGCGTATTTGAACTGCGTCATTGACACTCTATTTACGCGAAACTCCATCGCACAAATATTCGGGATATTGTCACTTGTCACGCATATTATATACACATATAATATAATATAATATATATATATAGTCTCCCTAAATCTAATGTGTAAAGTTACCGGGACAATCTATCGCGAAGAGTGTTCAATCACTGGTTAATGAATCGGTACCGAACAAGTAACCGACGGACTAATAAATTCGAATTACCCTTGGAACTCTATGTAGTCACTTACAATACCTATATATATATATATTTATATACACTACAACAATATATACGACCATTGTACATGTAGAATTTATACGCACACTTTATTACACGAGTACTAGCGTAGTTCGAATGACTATCGCATAGGTAGGTAGGTACATTGATTAAAGTGGTATTTTACTCCGAACATAATATATCCCCCTGTCAACTACTACTACYACTCAGTCTCACGAATATAATATGCTTCAAACGATAAGGTGGTGCGTATTACGACGGTGTTGACGATGCAATTGATGAAACCAGGAAAATTGCCCTAATAAAAAGTACACGTGTCAATAATTATTGTTATTGTATTATGAATACACGTCGGGCTTAACTGAAAGCTCGTTTATCGACGAAATAAATTTAAAACATCACTAAGTAATACTAAATAATCACATAAGAAATTGAAGTAAACATAGGTCTTGTTGACTTGTTTTTATTTTTAATATTAAGCGCTCGTTTTGTATTGTTTCCTGGCTGCTGGTAGCCGAAGAAACGTTTTTTTTTTTTTTTGATAAGATTTTTAAGATTTTCTCATACTTAGCAATCGTCGATTTTTTTTTACTAAAATTTTTTTAAATATTAAGCGCTCATAATATTCAATTTCTGGTTGCTGGTAACCGAAGTGAAGCTTTTTTCAATCAATTTTGGACAAAAGATAACTCAAGATTTTCTCTTACTTAGGACATGAGCGCAGTTCAGATGACTTAGAGACTTACTAACTATACGCTATAATTAAATTGGTATTTTACACCAAACGCTATGTGTCCCCTCGCCAACCACTCAGCTTTACAAATATAATTTATCATGCTTCAAAAAATTAATAGTACCTAACCTCACCGAGATGATACAATATAGGTGAAATTGAAAATTGGCCTGTGGCTGTAAATTGTCATGAMGTGTAATAATAAACGATAATATAGAGGAATGTTACGGGAAAACTTTTCTACTTACAGTAAATGTGAGTATATTTTTGCTCCACTAAAATCTTTGTATTCATACACTACACATGGATAGTTGTCGAGATTACTAGATGCTTAATTATATTATTATACGTATATTATATACATCACCGATCGTCGGTAGCTGATGACAGTCATTTTCAGCTGCTAATAAAATACATTTATCAGGTTTTAATCTACAACGAAACCATATAGTATTAATACGACGAGTCCTAAACTTGAAAACTGTATTACACCAAGCACATGATAATTCTGAGAAACTCTAACGTATCATAATAATTTACCTGACCATTCAAATTTCGATGCGTTTGACGATATGAATGACAAGACATTTTTCATACTATATTATTGTTTCGTGTGCTTAAGTTTTAGAAATTAAGACTCCAATGCTGTTTTTTTTTTTTTTTTCTGTTGTTGCTTTTACACTCTATGATGATAATAGGGCATGCGGTTTATAAATGGTTTGCTTAATTTACCATACTTTTCTATATTCATCATAGCCAAAAAAAAAAGAATTACCCTTCGTTCAACGACGGCGATAACACTTTGGCCGTTCAAATTTAATCATGAACTTCTTGATTACAATTCAACAACGATGAGTGGTTTATATTAAATAAAAAATAAATATATATTTTTTTAATTCCGAAAAGTCTGAGTGTAAATAGCGTGGAAAATAACTGCCCCTGCTCCCGTCATCTCCAGCGCTCTACAAGCTGTTCCATCATCATCGTGACTGGCGGGTTGGTGGGTACGTCGGACGGCGATCACAGAATAGTAATAATATTTTGGACAGGGCTGCCTCGCTTATATACAAAACACCCGTCTTTGAGACTAATTTACCCATATCGATACCCAAGCGACGGCTCAGGGTCGTTTCTTCCAAG